TTTTTGGTATTGCCAAAAAGGAGAGTTTGCTAAATGATTTTGCAGGGTGAGTTTTGTGTGTCTGACAGTCTGAGTGAAAAGGAAGTGATATTTTTCTGGGACACATGGGACCAAGTATCTTATGGTCTCAGCCACCAGCCAGTGTGAGAGTGACCCATGGGCATCTGTTTTCCTTTTTGGCTGTCTTTCAATTTTGTTGGTGGTGATTTGGACAAGCACGTGGCCATAGTTAGTGTTTCATTGTTTCTTTCTTTGAATTTACCTTTAGAGCCCATTTGTTCGAGCTTGGTAACGTCCTGATTTGATTAAATGAGAAAAAAGATTCTTTCCTCTTCATTTCCTTCAAACAAATGCAGTTCTAATGTATTTCTCTCTTTATTTTTTAATAAAAAAATGCTTGGTTTATCAATTTATGATTTTAAAATTACAAAACTCACAATTCAAAGAATATCAAATTATAAAATACCAATTATTAGATGAAAAAACCTTTTCAAAATTAGGGGCTCATTCCTAACTCAATAATTAATATTTTATAATTTAACTATAAAACATTTTTTGTTATTTTAGTCTCAAAGTTAGTCTTAATATTTGCCATGACAAGAACAAATACCAAATGACCACTGAGTGCTGGACCATATTTTCCTTTGGTACCTCTGGTAATCTGATGGAACTTACGTTAGCGTCCTCATCTCGATTCTCATCTAGAAGTGACAAAGGCAATGTTGAAAAGTTCATATATTAGCAAGGGATGGTCCCAATCTACAACAATTAGGAACTTCCCTGGAGGTCTCTCCTCTCATGGGATGGAAGCACTAGTGTTGAGATATGTATGCTAAACAATGAGTTGAGTTACTTCGATGTCCACCACAGATGTTATACTCAATCTCGACAAGATATGTCAATTAAACCATCTCAAAAAGAAAAGAACAAATTATATCACGTAAATCTATTCATGACACTTTTCTCTTCCAGTTTGTCTCTTCCATTACTGATGTCATAGAATGAACAAGAGAATGAACAAAAAGAAATTCACAAGGAAATAAATAACATGAACTGCAAAAATTGATTGATTAACCCTCAAAAGAATAGCATATAATTAGTCAACCTCCATACCAGAAATGACTTCATCTAAAATCTTTTGTAGTTGCTTCACCCTTTGTCGTGTCAGTGCAACACAATCCTGCAATCACATTAACAATTTCCTCATCAGCCTTTAGCTAAAGGATTCATTGTATACAAAACATCTGTATCTTGACAAGTATAGGAAGTACAAGGTCATGCAACCATTAAAAAATTTCGGATTGTCATTAGGATATCCATTTGACCTTTGAGGACTTGAATTAAACATTTCAGAAATTTTCTTTCAATGAACTAGACTGGTCAGAAATTTTGGCTGCTAAAGCATGGCCCTTGCAAAAGAGTCCCCTTAATTTTAGATACCAAAGATAAAAAATGGTACTGACCTGAATAGCTGATGTATAAGCAAGAACAGGACCACCTGGTTTATAAAGAGAAACAAGTTGACTTGATGAATCTAACACTATAGTTATAAGGGTTTCCATAATGGATTCTTCTTCCAAAGTAGGGTCTGCCAGAATGTAATTCTTATGAAGTATGCAAGTTAATGAGAGTGGAATGCTTTTCAAAGTGAGTTTCCTCTTTTCCTTATTGAGTTTTCTCTTTTCCTTATTGACTGGCTCTCCTTCTGACATTGCCGTCACTTGTTCCTCAGAGATAAGAACTATTTTTCCATCATCATTCAGGGATACAACTGGTATTTCTACTGCAAAAAAGGGAAGCATGAAAAATTAATAAAACAAGTAGAATATAGAAAATGTTGTATGAGCGTACAGGCTTCTGTTGCAGCTTGGAATGTTAAAAAAAGGAACAGATAGTAGAAATGCCATGAGATATATCCATGCTTTACAGCAGGGTACACATGCAATTAGCCTCTTCAAGCGTGAAGAGGATATTAACGCCAGCAGAAGGCTTTTCTTTTCCTCAAACCATGAAAATTGCAACACATTGATCCAAATTCAACTAAAATTCTACAAATGTAAAGAACATACAGAAGAACTCCTTCCACAGAATATTGAAACAATTTGCTAAACATCCATTTTGTCCATTTAGACAGAAACACAGAATGGCAGAAATAATTTAATAAGTGAATAATTGTGAAGCAACAGACTAAATAAGATGCGAGTTAAGGAACCTTAATGAGTGCAGGGAAGTGTAAATGCTGTCAAATGAAACAGTGCAAGTCATGGATGATAAGTTCTGCTTAGGCCATGGCTAAACTATCACATCTGTTAAACAAGTCCTCAGTTCAAAAGCCAACTTGATCATGTTCAACTCACAAAACTCATTTTCTGATGCAGTCAATCAAACAAGTTTCAACAGGTTTTCTCTACCTCCTCAATTCTGAGGAAACCCATTTGTTCACTCATGGAACAAAAGCTCTTCAAATTAAACCTTAAAAACCACATATGCTATGCCAGAAAATAACCCCTAAACCAAAATAATCAACATTTTGTTGTTCATACTAATTTATAGATGTTTTTCCCAGCAGATGAGTAAAATTTCAATAACTGTTGCATTCGCTGTTGCACCATACAAAGACACACAAGAAAAATGCCCTCAGATCAAAGAGCTAGATTGATTTTATTAAATGTTGGAATAAATAATTTCTACATCATTTAAGGTACAGAGAAATAAATAAATAAATACAACTCCAAGAATTTGTTCCAAACTAATTGTAATAATAAACAAGTTAACCTGATGATGAATATCCCTGAAATGATGAAAAAAGGTGCAACTCTTACAATGTGAAAAGGCAGCAATTGCTGAAAGTAATGCAGCATCAAACAAAGCTCCATCAGCATCCAAACAGTATATGTCCTGCAAATAAAACGAACATGTAATGCTGTCATCTAACAAAAACAGAGGATGAAAAATTAAGAAAAAAAGACTGTTAGCACTGACCAAATATGCCATCCACGCAGCTTTTCCACTCAACAAGGACAGTTCCTTCAAATCAATCATGCCAGAACTGCAATTAAGCACACAACTAATTGTTAAAAATATGCATGTTTAACTAAGAAATAACGAGATTCAAGGAAATTAATATAAACAGTGATTAGGAAAGAAGAGGGAGCCATTGTCACCAATCAGCAAGGACTCTTTGTAAGCAAAGCTACAGAGGTCATCAACTAACAATCAAGAAAAGAAAAACCAAAGCCCAAAAAATGAAACTAAAAACATAAGAACTTAAAACCAATAGCACAATCACAAACCAGTGTATCCATGGCCATCAGAGTTATATGAAAAAATGAACTAAAATATGAAAATGTCATACCTAAACATGTGTCAGCTAGTGGAAATCAGAGTTATTTTAACAATCTAACATTGGAAGAGAACAGTGTGTCAGAACCTCTTTGAAGGTCAGACATCAGATAATTAAAAGAAAACAGAGAAAAACAGAAGAGTGCAGCTGAGTGATAATTGGCTTGCCTTAAAATAGTATCAGA